TTTCTACGAGGTAAAGATCCAAAGTGATGGCAGATAGATAGGAAGCTAAACATCACAGCTCTGTTGCTACATGGCTACAAGGAAAATCCAGAAACTATTTGTCAGGAAAAGTGACTGCTTAAGGAAAACCCAAAAACTATTTGTCAGGAAAAGTGACTGCTAGCCAAAATAGGCAAAGTGGGCATTTGGCAACCTCACTTCAGCAGTGCCCTCCCAACACAGAAGAAACAACAAGAAGGCAGTCAGAAAATTAATCAGAATAGGAGCACGGGCATTTGTTTAGAGAGAAGTAAGGGTTAAGTTAAATGTCACAGATTTCTAGATATTCATAATGAATGTTTCAAACTTTTAGATACCTTTTGGGAAAGGAAAAAAAAAATACACTTCTTAAACCTCCTAGGATTTAGCTATCTCATTTTTAAATCTTTTTATTTATTGGAACTGTCAAACTTCGTGGAACATCTTTAAATCAATTTCACCCATGATTACGGACTGGGATGAGACCAAAGCTGTACATGTTCATGTCTTCAGCAGTGCACACTCATGTCACAAATCAATATATTACAACATGAAACTTTGGAATTCTCCCATTCCCTCCCTCACCTTCCAGATGCTCACTCTGCCTTTCCTTTTAAGAGACCTAACATAAGCTTACCTTCCTTCTCATTAAATTAAGTTGCTATGAAACTCCTCATTATCAGCCAGGATCAAGGTTTTATGCACTTACCAATCGAAAGTACCGACCAGATGTTTGACTTAGAGAAACTTAAACCATCTGTGCAAAATCAGAAGTGGTTTTGGCCTTTAATTGGGTATTTCTTCAGTATTGCAGTTTATAGATGTGAATACTGGTTGTTAACACGATAGGTTATTTAAAGGAAACAGAGAAAGGGTCATGGCTTTGAGGAAGGCAATTATATTTTGTCAGAAGAATAGTCATAGGCAAAAAGCCTAACAATAGGTATGGAGGAGGTCAGCAAGGTATTACCACCATACTCATCACAAGGTTTTAGAGAGGAAAAGATAAATCTGATTTTCCATGAGGGTTAGATAGTTCCAGAGCCACAAAAGAGTTCTTGTAAACACCAGTAACTCAGCATATGTTGACTAGGAATTTTTTTCAGTCATCACAGTGTTATGTGACCAACTGGAGAATCTAACTCTTCTATTATCCTATCAGATCTAATGTCACAAAAATACCTTCATAAATAACAACTGAATTATTGTAAACCTTGTGACAAAAATGTATAGATAAAATTGAGTTTTCAATAAAAAAATAGAATTAGTAACAAGATTATTAACAACTATTAACAACTATTATACATTAGCTGAAATGGATATTTATAGAATGAAAACAACTTTTGTGTCTGTTCTTAATTTTACAATTATTTTTAGTGGGTTTTTTTGATTTGACTTTTATAAACTAGACTTCTTAATTTTTAAAATTAAGCTGAAATATTATCTAATAGAAGCCTAAATGCAAGTAAAGAAAAGTCAAAAGTTGATTTATTTTCTCACTCAAACCAAAACTCATAGTATGTATTTCTTTCATCAGGATAAGGAAAATTAATTTCCAAGAATATTATCATGAAATTTCTTTTTTATTTTGACAATTTATTATGGTAATAAATGCCAGACAATCTTTCAAACTGAAAACCCTTAATTTCCTTTAGCTCTGCTAGATATTCTTCTATTAGTTCTCTTTCTCTGAAGACACTTCAGGATCCAACATAGCTTCTCTTGAAGGGAATTTCTTCATTTAACTGAAAATTTGCTCTTTTTTTTTGTTTGTTTTCATCTTGAACCTAACCACAAAGGACTCCATTGCACTTGAATGCACATGCACGTCTCTTAAAGAAAGGGAAATAATCTCACAGGGTGTGTGTTTAGTATGCCAGAAACACACTATGAGATGTCATATAATGTTGTTGCAGTCAAGAATAACACCTGATGCATCTGCTTTGACCTTGATGTAAATGATGACCATTTGAGATCTGCCCCTTAGCAGCTGCTAGGCCATGGACAGAGTTAAATTAATGCAGTGAATATGTTGTGGTCCACATTGTCTGCTAAGTTTTGATATGAATACTTATTCTTTAGGAACAACATAAGCAGACACAGGGCAAAAATATATCTAATTCCCTCTAAAGGTATCCACATCTCTATTTGGCATCTTCAGGCTGCCTCCACCACTGCAGTCCTGTCACTGCTGCTTCTGGGAATCTGATGTTGACAGGTGGAGCCTTCAAATATGGGCATGTGTGACATGTTGATAGGGGGAGAAATGAAAGGATGATCAAAGATACTGCTCTACTGAAATGGGAGTGGAAACACTATCTCTCAAGTCAGAATTAGGCTCCCATGTGTCAAGTGATGAAAGACTATAAAAAATGGAATCAGATTTAATGAAAGTTAGGGCAAATAAAAATCAGTGAACTTTTTTTTTCTATCCTAGTCATGCCTCACCATAAATGTTTTCCTTTCTGCCAATTTTTGCCTTCTGACTCAGAAGACAAAAGTAATTTATTACTTCTGTTGTCTTGGCAAAATTTAACCAGCAGACAGTGATAAAGAGCTTCAGACAGGCAACATCTGAAATCACTTCAGGTGATTTCTGAGTTGTCTTCTGGCATAAACAACAACAATAAATAAATTAAATTTATTATCTGATCCTCCAGATCATTCCAGGAAACTGAATTGCACCTCTGAAAATGAGAAATGCCTCCCAGAGTGCTAAGCAGTGCACTATGACAGTGAGGGCAAACCAGCAGGATTAGCACCAACATAGAAAGGGGCTATAAGCCATCACTAATGCTGTTTACATTCCAAGAAAAACTTCAGGAGGGCTGAAGGAAATAGGAACATATACATTCCATGTCTAAGAAAAGCTTACTTTGTGAGAGCCCATGGAAGTGTATTAGGCCAGTAGACAATATCTCTTTTTTTTGCCTGACCCTCCATCCCTACAGGTGTCTCACTGGCCTGAGGAGCCATTCTGCCATCCACAGCAACATCAGCCTGCTCCATGCACTAGGCCAGATGTTCAGACAAAAGATGTTACAGATATATAATTTTCTGGCAGCCTCCTCAGGTTGTTACCATTATAAACATTAACTACGTAGTGAAACCCTCTCAGAGTCCTCTTTTCCACGAAAAACTTTCACTACATCAGCATTAGCAGCTTTCCTCTTGATTTGTGTCTTAACCATGAGAAAAAAAAACATCACAGATGCAGGCTGCATTGTACTAAGAACATATGCATGCTTTTAAATCACTTTTATCTTACTTTTTACTAATGTAATCCTGAAATGTAAAATATGTTCTTTTCGCATTCACTATTATAAGCAGAACAGATGGTGAAAGGCTTAGATTAAAGTAATACAGCATGTCCATTAAAATAACCCCCACTGCTGGTGACTCTTCACCAGGCCAGGAGTTATGTTTACCATAAAAAGAGGGGTTTGCTTTGCTTTTGAATACACTGGAAGTTGCCAAAGCTTTAAGGCTACAAGAAGAAATGTAATCCAAACAAACTGAAACAAAACCAAAACAAAACCAAAACAAAACAAAACCCCCAAACTGATTAGAAGTCAGCCTGATCCTGTTATCTTTACCCCAAGGGGTGATATGCCCAAAAGGATTGCAGAATTAATCCAGATTATCCATTTAAAAGAGCTATAAAATCAATATACCTTTGAAATCAGGTGTATTAATATACACCAACTTCCAAAACTTCATGCATGCCATAAAACACACCAAAGCCTCCATCCAACAGCTCTTGGTGGCAACCTTACTTGTGTGCATGCATTCTTATATATACACAAAATCTTTATCCAAGAACTAAAATGTGATATGAAGCAATAAATATTTCTCTAGATCTGACCATAAAACATTTCCATTAGAGGCAGACAGCAGACAACTTTTAATATTTTCTTTAGGCAATCATCATTAATGGGGCATTAAACTCCAAATCAGTTCAGATGATCACAATTAAAATGTTTTTCCAATCTTGTTGCTATTTCCTGTGTATAGAATAAATGAGGTCCAGGGATAGGCTTTGGGAACAAAAAATAAATGAGGCCCAGGGCTCTATTTTGGGACCCCCTCACAACAATTATTGTTATTATGGGGGAAGACTTCAGGCAACTTTTAACCAACCAAAGTTTCCTTTTTCTGCAAATATCTATCAAATCTTCATCTCTCCTGGGTTTTTTTCCCAACATCTCTTTCAGTTCTGCACCTCTCCTGTAGGACGGGACTAGGAAAACACTGTTGAAAGTGTCTGGGCAAATTCTACAGCTGTGTCATGAGTTTTGGGTTGTTGTCCTTTCTGCTTGCCCTTCCCCTGCCTAGGGATGATTTCACAGAACCCACTAACCCACTGTACTAACTTCAGGCAGTGTTTATCAAATGCTGAGCAATGGCTCCAAATTAATGAACTCAGTTTTACTTGCAGAGTCTACAAGCTCCATATTATGCTATGACTGCTTTTGCATAATATTTGAGGGAAAAACATTAGCACTGACTTACATGACCAAAATATCCACTTTTCGTCCTAGTACTAAAGATTCAGTTGAAATTGATTTACTTGTTTTTCATACAGTTCACATCTCATGTAGGGGCACACAGCTGGCAAGGGAGAGGATTCTCAGTCAGCACCCAATAAAGCATATGATTTCTTTTTCTCTTCAAGAGAGAAACAAAAGAAATGGTAAGGGGAGAAAAATAAAGAGGAAAATAAAAAAAGGAAAGAAAGTATGTACATTTAAAATCTCCTAGGTGCCCTTGACTTTTAGAAATACTTTGTCCACTGCCAGTATTTTACTAATAAACTTCCTGATTCCTTTCTCCACCACATCCAGGCTCCTGTGTAAGCCAAAACCCGTGACCTTGCTGCTCAGCAGCAGCTTTTAAGTCACACTCTAATTCCCCTCAACTGACTGGCAAATTACATGGGCAGGAGACTGAGGGACACAGGCTGTACCACCTGCTGCATGTTCTTCAAAACAGCTTCTCTTAGTCTTTCAACAGTTTATTCAGTGGTGGAGAAGGATGACAGGGAGGGCAAAGCCAAGCTGCCAGCGTTACTTGTGGTGATGGGCTACAATGAAAAGTATGACCATTTTTCAAGATACTGGCAGCTACCATGGCTGCTTCTTTTTGAATGATTAAATCTGTGGCTTTAGCACCAGGCAGCTGGTAATGAGGATGCAAAATGAAACTGGAGACTAAGCACCCTGAACTTTCAGACAATGATCCCTGATAAACCAACAACACCGCACTGCTAGTTCTGTTTTTTTTCTGGTGGCAGAGAGAATAAGGAGGTATTGATGAAAGTCACACTTTCAGAATTCAGATGGATGTGGAAGGATAACAAGTCGTCAGTTGGGATTGTCCTGCTAGCAAATGAGTACTTTGGAAAGGACTGTGTAAGGGGAGATGAAGTGTAATTTCAGTAAATCAAAGATAGTAATCTATAAGATCAAATTTAGAATGATTTGTAAGTATCTTCCCCAATTCTCTGAAACATTTTGATTACAATTGTTTGGTATACTGCATTCAAGGGAAAAGGTTTTTTAATGACCCACAGAAACGTGTATGAACAAATGGGCTATAGCAGCCTCTGACAATATTAGATTCTTAAAATTAGGAATTTAAATTTTTATCTAGGTGCTCAATTGCATATTCTCTGTTCCAAAAGCAGATGTCATTTAACTGAGATCCTTACCCTTGGTACTTTTGAGGGGGAAAAGAGAAAGAAAACAAGGAAGTGATGTAGATATTTGGGCTCACATTATACACCTTAGAGGTCAGTTTAAAAAACATTGTGCCTGCAGAGAAACTGTAGTCATTAAGGTCATTATCAGTTAAATATTGACCCAGGCTCTTTACAAATACGTAGCTCTTCAAAGTTACATCATGAATGCATACATTTATATACACTGTGTGGAGGCATATGGGTTTTAAGAGTTGTATCATTAGTAAACATCATGGCTATTTTAACAAACATTTATTTGAACTAAAGGTTTGACAGTGCAAATATGCAAGTGCTGTGGCACTGTCTGCATAAATCAGTTGCATAAATGTATTAGGTAAGCTCCAGTTCACAGATCCAGCCAAGTCTGGTCCATTCTCTGAGCAGAGACATGTTGCTTACACATTAGGCTTGAAAATAGAATCTGGGAAATTAAAGTCTACTGATGCCAATGACCAGCTCCTAGTGCTTTCTCCCTTTCAAAAATCTGTACACAGAAAAGTTTTCTTGTTGCAGTTCAGCAAGTTAGTTGGCAGCTTTCCCTCCTCTAAACTTGCTCCACTTGACTAAGATTTCAGTATTAAACTGTTGACAAACATCTGGCAGCTTTCTAGATATGCTGGAATTATTAAAGAGTAAGAAAACTAAGCTTTCCCATATAGCAAAACTCACAATCCTCTCAAATCAAGAATTTCAAAACCAACATCTTCACCTGTCCTACTGTCACTCCTCATCAACTCTTAGCCCTGCACTCTTATTGTTGGTGATGATGTATCATGCATGATAAAATACAAATATTTCTAGGCTTTTAGAAACAGTTTAAAGAAACATATCCTTCTCTCAAGATCTTCTAACCTGCCATTCTTTCTTCCCTTTGAGTAACATGTTCTTTGGCCCGTTCTAGTTACTGGTGTGAAACAGCAGTCAAAAATCAAGATATTCAAAAAGAATCCAGTTTGGTTTTCAAAGAGAGCTACCTGTGGGTATGGTGATGTCCTTGATTTTGACTTTGTGCTCGAGAGGCGAGATTTGCTTCCCTTTCTGTTATCCGTTATGGTCGGAGTTGAATTTGCATACGAGAACGTCGGCTTGGTCGCAGTGACCTGATCCAGGGAGAGCTGCAGTCCTTTATATTCAGTATCCCTATACAAAAGGCAAAAGTGAAAAAAACCTCACTTCATATCTTAATGGAAAACATTCCTTCCTTCTTAGTAGGGGGTGGAAACAAAAGATATTTTTAAGGAGAAAGAATAAAACCATTCAGGGCAAGGCAGTATATCCCACTAATACATTTATGGAGTAGAGCTTACTTCACAATAGCACTATTTTTGTACTGAAAATATGATTGCTTTTTATATCCAGCTGTTATCAGCCTGATCTACTTTTTTCAGCAATAAAAAGCAATGGGATGGAAATTTCTGAGATTTATATTGCAGTTCGACATTGGTTACCTAGCTAAGCAGTAAATAGGATACATTTTCCTCAAAACTCTTTCAACTACAAACTTACCACATGTGTATGTGTGTGTGTGTGTGTGTTCATGCACGTGTGGGGTGAATATAACAGCCCACGTAGAAGACTAAATAAATTGAACAACTTCATTTTATTAAAGAAAAACTCTTGATCTTTAAGGCTGTATTTTTCATTGCTTACAAAGTTTCAGGCGATTGACATAATTTTTTATCCTTCTATGAGTCTTATGAGTGTTTTTTCCTCTCTTTGGGGTTTCTTACACCAGTTTACCAGTTAGAGAAAACAGCTATATAAGTACAAATTTTTGATTGAAATAGTGTGTCCCCCACTTAAAAAATACTGGAGGTTTTTGTAAGGAGAGCTATTTATAACAGCAGTTTGTGAAGCTCAGCATTAGTTTCTTGAAACTTTCTAATGAATACATAAAAGTAAGGAAAACTGGCATTGTTCACAATGTCTTACTAAACATAATGAGGGCATATGCATTGGACTGCAGCTCCCTGCACACATCTGCATGTCTGCTGATCCCCAGGGGAGTAAGAAATGAGCTCCCCAGCTTTCATGTATTCATAAGGAACCTATTCTGACAATGATTTATTAAAAGAGAGCAAAGCAAGAGCTTCTTCCTGACCTACCTACCTGGAGGAAAAGAGGAAGAATTCATGGCTTTCCCCTTCCTTTGTATTATCAATAGAGAATAGGAGAACAAGGGAAGAATAATGCTTCTCTTATGCAGTCAAGTAGGCAGCATATTTACTCACACATTACTCAGTCTAAAGCTAAAAATTCACACCTAATGAATTATATTAATAATTAATTGTTTGCCCAGCTTTAGTAACAATCTCTTGCTCTATAATCACACATACACCGATGTGCAAGCCATAAGAATATAACATTTTTCTAGAAAGGTGCAACACACCTGAGCATATCAGAGCTTAGTACACTGAAATGTTTACAGATAAAAGTGGGTGGCAGGGGGATAAATTTGATAAATCACTGAAATAAGTGAAATAGGATGAATCTTCGAACACCCACAGATAAACCAGCAGAACAGGCAAATCAATTCATCCCAGTTCTACAATATTTTTTTTTTGCATTGATGAACAGCAAACTTGTTGGTTGAAGAGGCTTAGGGGTTTTGGTAATGCAGACAATGTGTATGTATCCTGGTATGTATAACACAGGAAAGTGAATCCCTGGCATTAAAACAGCACTGACTACACTGTTTTCAGTCCATAGCAGACAGGGATTGGTCAAGTATAAAAAACTCTTTGTAATGTAAAATTACTTCTTAATGAGGCAATTTCTTCATAGTTTGGCTTTAATAGAGATAGGTCTCTGCTATAATATCCTGCCTGCAGTGAAAGCATCTGAATATGGGGATTTGCTTTGGCCTATTTGACAGGTATGGCTCATCCACATAATTTGAAATCATTAATCTCTCCCATGGTTACCCTCAGAATTTTCATCCAGACACCTTGAGTTGACATGCAAAGCATCTGGCTTCATAATTGATTCCTACCAAATATTCTTTATGTTATACAAAGCATCAGAAACAAAGGATGTCAAATAGCCTTCATATTTAACTACTATAATAGCATGAGATTTTATCAATAGTCCTGAAAAAAACTATCAGTCTCATCCTGATATACACATTCCCCCTGACTATTGGATTATAAGAAGAAGAAGAAGCCTGTGGTCTCAGTGTCAGATGCAGAAAATATTGCCTCCAGAAACTAAAATTAATCAAAACTAAGTAGTTCACAGCCTTAGGGGTATGAGGAGGTTGTGTTTCAGTTTTACTTCCCTTTTTGCTGGAGAACCATAGCTCGGTGCTCTTGCCATTACTCCTCATCTCTGGAGTCTGCTGCTTTCTCAAACCAGTGAAAGAGTTTTTAAAAAGTGGGCAAAATACCACCCTGCTGTTCAGACCACAGACTGCCCATCCACCACTGCCTGCCTGCTGTTACAGGCTGTGTAAGGGCCAAGAATTCAAATCATAGAGACAACACCCTACAACACTTCTAGCTCATGGGAACCAAAATAAAAACAAACCAGCCAAATCAGACTGACCAAAACCTTGCACACCTTTCTGTGTTACTTTTCCAAGGCCACACATTAGAATAAACACCACAAGCTGGTATATGCAGCCAGTTGTTTAGGTGGTAACATCATTAAAGATGATGTTACCCTGAAGTTCTTGCTGCCAAATGCCAAGTTTCCCCTTATTAAAAAAACACATCTGTGCTTTCTTTGCAGATGAAACACCTGGACTTTCTTGCATCATTGAGTCATGATTCAATACCATCTCAACCCTGTCCTTGCACAGCTACCCTTCAGAATAACCAAGAGAGACACCAGAACACCACCAGTAACTGCCCAAGATAAATACCAGAAGTTCTGAAAAAAATAAAAAGGCAAAGAAAGCATAGAAGAAGGGTCCAGTACTCTCAATGTCAGGCACCAAAGACATTCCACCTCAAATTAAAATTTTGAGCATATTCATACACACTGTGAGGCAAAGGACTAGACAAAGCAGAGCTCCTAGTGATACACAAATTACAGATGGAAATTCTGACAACTTCCTGGAGGAATTTATAAAACTTCCACCAACCATAGAACTTTAATCTTTAGATTCCTGTTCTCAGGCACCTGAATCCACTATCACCCAGTCCCAGCCACACAGTAGTACTGCAACTTGTGTTCTACATGTAATTAAAAAAAAGGAGGTGGATACAAGCCTCTTCCTCCAAGGTCCTCACCTTCACAATCCCACAGGGATCTATAGAATCTACATCTATCTACATGAGACTGCTGAGAGAGAGAGTGATATGGCATGTGTTCAATTGCTAACAGTATGTTGCTGACAATCTACTATTTATCTCATTTTCTGATGCAACTATCATCACTATAAAACATCAGAATAACTACAGGAAATTAGCTCTTAAATGAAGACCAGATGGATCAAACTGAATCCAGACAAGACCAAAGTGAAGCTTCTCTGCAAAGGGAAACACAATGAAGACCTCCACCTTTCCATGATGGGAAACAGCCATTCTTTCCACAATTGGATGGAAATTCTAGGTCCTCTTTGGCTCCTCAAAAAAAACTTGGATGCATATGCTTTTGGTAGCATATGCTTCAAAAAATGTATTTTTCTTCCTCTATCTTGTCCCTCCCACACACACATATGAGAATCTGGCTGGTATGGTCAATGTATCAGGCACCTACAGACTGGATTAACGAGCTTCACTGTAAGCAAAAAGAAATCAGCAGACAAATCATAAAATCCTCTTGCTACAATATGCTACTTCCCATTTTCTGCTCAGACCTAACTCCCAGAAGCATTTCCACTCTGTAACATGTCTCTGGCTCTTCCACTGCTCCTTATGAAGCTTGAGCCTGATTTTGAAAGTACTTATTGGTGTACTAAACGTTCACCATGAAAAACCAACAGCATTTCTCTGCAATGAAACATCTGAAAGTTGACTACAAAGCTTTCTTTACAAAAGGCAGCTAGCTGTAGCAATTTGCATAGATGGTGAAGGACACAGGCTAGAGCAGCAAATCATTTGGAAGAAGAAGCTAATCTGTTTGCACATGACTTGGATGTTGGTTGGATCTGCAACTCTTGTGTGAAGAGTTCTCAAAGTTCAGCTTTAAAAAACACTTTCTCCCTACTACTGCTGTCAAAATGTACTCTATGAAACATGTTAGCAACAGTCTGTCTAATAAAAGTTTGAGGAAGAGACAAAGAAACATTAGAAGACAGACCCAAAAATTAACAGTAAGGGAGTATCAGAGCAGCACAAAACCTGAATTCTCTGCAAACACAGCTTGAACAAACATGGTGATTAAGCATGTGGTTAGGGTTCATCATGAAACAGAAAAAAAGAGAGTTGTTTTATATGGACTTTTTGAAGGAAAAAAGAGATGTGGAAAGGGTGAGTCAGCATTGACAGAAATAACATTAGGAAGACTGGAAATAGTGACAGAGGCCTAGTGGACACAGTGTGACCCAAGACAAACTAAAACTGTACAGATAAGCTGGACTTTTTTTGCAGTTGTGTTTCTTTAGCTAACAGGGTGAAATTTGGGACTAATTTAACTAAAATCTAAAAGCTAAAATGATATTAGACATTAACCTTAGAGAGATAAAGGCACAAATAAATTGCAAGATTCTCTACTTAAAAAACAGTGTTGGTTTGGAACAGAAGAGAACTTAAGTCCTGAATCATAGAATCACAGAATTTTAGGGTTTGGAATGGACCATCTGGTCCGAACCCTCTGCCATAGGCAGGGACACCTCCCCACTAGACCAGGTTGCTCAAGGCATCAAAAAATGCTTCCAAACAGAAAGATCAGCTAAATAGGATATAGCCAGAAAAAGAAGTAAAATAATGACATCTGTTAGTGAAGAATAAATATTCAGATAAAGCCAAAAGTACGTAAAAAGGACAATCAGACTCAAACCCACAAATCTTATATATCCACATTCAAAAGCAGCATAACCTTCAAAACAAGAAGAAAACCTTCAGAAAAGAAGATTAAATGCTTGACCCATGGAAAAGTCTGCAAAAGCCATAAGAAAAAGCATCTTTTTACACAAATACCACTGCATTACCAGAAAGGCAAGCTATATATGCAGTGGCTGTGAATACACAGATAAC